ACCTTACCCCCATGGACATTGTACCCCTTATATCATAAATAGAATTGTCTCATTTAATACAACACAACGACTTGGTTCTCACGAAACCTTAAAATCCTCCTGTGTCCTCATTGCAACTTTCCAACACCCTTTGAGGACCAAAAAACCTATCGATCCCACTAAAGAGGTTGACCTAGCCGCTCGGGTTATCCTCTCCATATCTCTCAAATAATAAACTGGTTACGTGTGCGTACGAGTTAATATTTCTACAAACAGTATACCGCTCCGAGGAATCTACAAAATTCCCCCGGCCTCGCTAGCCACTCGGCCGCCACGTAACAAGTTAAACGGTGGAAAGCAAGCAAGCGACGACGATGAGTCATTCATCTCGATACGAGTACGTACTGTCAAGTTTTTGCGGCTTGAATTTTGCAGACTGCAAATTCATACGAGTCGGACTATGACGCACTCCCCTGGACAAAGATGGAAAAGACGTCTTTGAGGCGACGGTTCAGCTGGGAAATTCCAGCGGCCTAAACAGAGTGACTTTCGACGTCGAGGAGTGGCGACGACTCGTGAAGAACTTTGAGAAAATCACCGCGTACCTAGATTCCGACGACTACCAACCGCACGAGTAGCCAATGCTTATGGGAAAGTATACGACCCTAGGGTGGGGGAACCCTTACATTCGACGTAGTCGAGGGAGAATTTGGCGGCGGAAACTTACAAACTACCGTACAAAACTAAATGCCTCGTTGGCGATCGGCAGGTACGTGACGTCAAAACGACATATATAAAAACGAGAACAAATAATAAAGAACGTAACAAAAGGACAGCATCGAGAGAGACGAGTAGTGTGCCTAATAACAAGAAAATCGGTAAATAAAAGAAAGCCTCAAGAGAACCTAACTGCAGCACTTTGGAAGACCCTCCATGCATCCCACGCCAATGTAAGTCCCGGGAGGTCCGCGTTCATAGGGGAACGTTCGGAACTAATATGAGGGTAATTCGCGATAATAGGTGAACGTTCATGAGTGGAGTTGGGTTAATACGCGAAGATTTCAAATTTTATGGGAATTACGCGTTGCGAAGACCGTGAGAGTGTTCGCGAGTGACGGCCGCGGCGTATAGAAATAACCGTATTACGACGGGAACTGTTAGGTCCCTACCTAACGTTTTATTTTAAATAATATTAAGAAAGAGATTAAGCAACGCGTCTCGTGCTCCAAAGCGCTCCTGGAGATATGCTCTCCCTCGTTCTTATCTCCCCTTTGTTTATCCGAGTACTTCCGCACCCCAAACTAGATGACAGCCCTGAGAAACGTCAAACATTCAGAATCTCTGGAAAAGACACTTTCCACCTGTTTCCCCTTCGACCTGTCCTCAAGCCAATCACATGAGACATTTCCCTCCTCAATCTTAAAAACCCACCAATAAGCATCCTCCTCCGCGCCTAAGAACATCCTAGGTCAGTATAAAAAGGCCCGCTCCGAAGGGCTCGCTCTCTGATCTACCAAAGTTTGAACTGTCTCCATTCTGTAACCTGCGTGCGAGGCACCTGTAACTCTCGGCGAACGCTAGTCCCCTTGAGTTGACCGAGTCTACGAGTCGTTCCTGTAAAACCAAGAGGCAACGAAAATAAAGTATCTTCGTTACTTTGCTCGACGAGGTCTTTGGCTGGTTTCAACCATCTGGAAGCGAGTCCCCAAAAACATACCCACGAGGCCCGGTCCGATCGACACCCTCGGGTAATCGCCATCACTGCTCCCGAGTAAACGATCCCCGACCTAGCAGAACCCGCGCAGCTCGGTTTTGAATTTTAGGACTTGGCGAAGTAAGATTTAGGGCCGCCAACGTGCGGCTGACGCTCAACTATTGTATGATTTTAGAGAAATAAAGTAATCGCCTAATATTCCAACGAAAACCACGTCGCAGTGTTTTCATTATTGTATTTATTCTAATTTTTAAATTAGTTCCGACTGTTTCATGATCCTTTCTGATTATCCGACTCACTAGCGCGTATTGTTACGTCTGGACGAATAGATGAGTTTACAATCAAGGTCAGTTAAGTTCTAAATCTAATTTTAACTACTCACCCAGATCGTAAGCTCTTGCAATAAGTGTGTGCACTGTAGCAGCAGTTGAGTGATTCCGTTTCTTACGGTGCTGAAAGGTATCTTCATCTCTTAATCCGATTCTGTTATTAGAATACGGTACTGTTGGTTGCATCTCGATATGTGAAACTGGTATACTATCTATGGAAATTATGGTCTGAAGTCTATTTTGGTCCGCTGATTCATTCGATGCAATTTCATATTTTCCGTATGAGTTGTATGCAGAATATTGAACTGCAGTGAGTGCCTTTCGAAGTATTAATTCTCCCGTAATCTCATTCAAATAGAATATATTATCATAATTGCCATGAATTAGCTCATACCGCACTTCATTGTTTGGCATTTCAACATCTTTATCCGTGGCCTAGGAATTAAACATATGTGAAATATTTCTTTTCAAGTGTTAATAATTACGTGAGAGAATAACACACTACAGAGAATATTACTAATGAAAACATTTACACAGATTGTCTCAATACTAACTCACAATTATAATATAAATAGTATGGAACTGTTAAAGTAGAATTTACGTAAATTGTGTCAATACGAAAACAAAAATAAATGTTAATATTAATTTACTGCAAGTAAAAAAGAAGCGTTTTACGGTATCAGAATCGGGTCTCTTTTATAATGTGCGAGCTTACATTACTATCAGGCCATGAAAAATATGACCGTAATAAGTGCTCAAAAACATTTATTGTACATTGTTTTTATAGATACCTTTATAACTGCGGACACAGTGAAGTTTGAAGACTTAGTATTTAAAATAAATTCGTAACTGTCTTTTTCAAAAATAGGCGCATTATCATTCACGTCTAATAGATTGATTATTAGAGGGACTGTATTCCTCAATCCATTTCCATCTTCATCTCGCGCTTCTACAGTTAATTGAATCATTGGAGTAAATTCGCGGTCTAGGACTGTCGTTAACATGCTTACGGAGATCTCTCCAGTATTAGGATCAATTATAAATGCTTCGCTACCTGCTCCAATAATGGAAGTATATTGAATACGCCCAAACAAACCACTATCTTTGTCCGTAGCGTGAACCTGTAAAAAGACGATGTCGCATGAGACGTCACAAGATTAGAAGTTTAACATAAAGTTAAATATGCGTAACATAATGCTTCCGAAGGATGTTCAAGTACGTAAAAGATAGTATCCAGCAAACAAAATCATTTCATTTGGACGTCATTATCTTGCATTCCTTTGTCGGCAAGGTCAAATATTCTAACTTTTATGTATTTTTAACGTCTACTGTGGTTTGTCATTTTAACATGTATAACAGTACGCTACGTAGACGTCACATGCGGAGCATGTGTGACGTTGCAAAAGTTGCTAATAAATGTGTTATACGGAACATTTTCCCAATAAATGTTAACCCGCAATGCTGTCAAATTTCTAATACGTCTTCGAAAACTGCTGCCCGCTGCTGTTCTACTTGACATTTTTCACCGTTAGTTATAACAAAACTGGTAGATGTCACTCATGGTTTCAGATTTCCACACAGGTCATATAGGTAGGTTGTGTATAAGATCTACACAGTTTTTGACGTTTAAGTCACAATGCCACTCTGCTTTCTTGTATTAGATTTCGATACTGTAGCTTTATGCGAAAGGGTACTGCCTCGGCATGCAGAGGAGCGAAAGGAAGAGATTATCCAGAACAAACTTGGAATAATAGAATTTGATATTTCGCTATTTAAGGTAAGAGCATGCAAGAATACTGGTAGTAACATAGGAACATAATTATAATGGTACTTAGATAAACAATGAACGCAACAATAGACGCAACAGCAACTTTGAATTTGTCACCGAAAGGGTAGATATTAGAGCGTGCAGAACGCGTTTTTCTTCAATATACTTCGTACAATGATCAATGATTTTACACTACTTTCATGTGTGTATTTTATTGGGTTGACGTGGTACTAGAATGTCACAAAGACGTGATCATGTGACGTCATTAGAATGTAACATTTGGCATAGTAAAACACGTTAATTGAATGTTAGATTTGATCACTTCATGACATTATTAGATCTATAATCGACCTCAAATTAGAAACGATAGTGCGCCGACGCCTCAGATTATTTGGCGCCCAGTGCGTCGCGGCCTATGCTCTGGTCTTTTCTCAAGACAGTAGCTGCTCGGAGCAACAGTCTTCACGGACAGGGTCTGGGTGGAAACGAGAAAGCGGTTGTGATAAATAACAATAACGTTTATTCATTCCGTGGTCCGCTTGGTACCGTTGCTGTGGTTCCCACTTGGGGCTTCAAGGAACGATGACTCTACATTAGTTGATTCTACTCTCACTATCGTGCAAATCTGGCTTATAAATGTTCGTCTCTCAGGCTTTATTCACGTCTGTCCGAGGTCGAAGTCGCGTCATACGGTTCTCCTTTGGAGTTTCAATTTCGCTCTAAGTACTGTCACATTTAGCACAATAGCAACACTCCGAATCCCCTAGCTGTAGGCGTCTCCGCGCTTTACATGTGTTACGCGGGTTCTTTCATTTTCGGGAAGCGTGGATCCATTGTCGCCGCCCCGCGAGTACGAGTCAAATAATTAGGTTGATGAATAAGTTCCCGCCGTTTTAATTACGTTACACTACGTTAATCCTTTCGTTCCGCAGTCCGCTCCGCCAGAGAGCCGCCACTGAACGCGACACCGCAAGTGTGCACATCGCGTGTTAGCCATCTTCGGTGTTCGAATTTATGTCTTACACTCGAACAACGCCTGCTTGACATCCTTTTGTATGTACACTTTTCTAAATGCTAAATAACAACCATTCTGTCGTATTATATGATAAACATTCATACAAAATTATATTAATTGTGTTGGAAACATGAACATTTTTTACACAAACTTAAAACAAACTTTTAAACAAAATTTCCAAATAAAAATCTAACTATAAACTTCGAAGAAATTCAAAGTTATACCAATAACCGATCTTCTCAAAATTATTGCAACGGTTCAGGAAAGATTTTTTATTATAACACTTTCTTTTCGTACAAATATTCCACTCTCGAATTGAAAAAACAGAAAAACTCGTCTCGATGGTCAAAATGTATTACATATGTTCAAATTGTACTTTTAGTACAATTAATCTAATACGGGTCAATACAATCGGAAGATACTCTACAGATATAGCAGAATTTGTTACCGACTATAGTCGACCGTCGTACACCCAGGTCGTCCAATGGATGCTGATTATAATCAGCATTCGTAACGAAAGGGTTAAAAATGGCGGGAACTTATTCCTCAATCTAATACTTCTGCGTCGAATCGAACGTGCTCCGACGTCACCCATCGCGGCCAGCCCATCTGGCTTATCACAAATTGTTGCGGATGATCGAAAGAAAGTTTGAACTCGGGTTGCACTGGATGCGAAAGTCAAAATTCGGATACCTGTCAATTCTCAACGAAATCTCGCGTCAGGTCGGTTTTATGAGTTCGGGCACATGACTTGGATCCGTAAGAAAGATAATTTATTAAAAATAACAGTTCATTCAGATTACAATTTTCTAATATGAAACTATTAAAAGCGGCGGTCGCAAGGTACGAATTAGCCGGTAACTATTTAGAGTGGCGGTGAGACTTGATTGTCTCTAAGAGCAGGAAATGTCCGTTTCTCGCGGTGGATGATTTTATTCTGGCCAGGGGGTCGACACTGCCATGTATTGGGGTGTAACGCTTCATGCACTACCGCCATCTTCGGTTGGAGTAAAGCTTCTTCGCGAACTAAAATATTTGGCGGGCTATTCAAATTCATTTATTAAACGAAGGGATATTTTCGGGATTTAAAAAGTGCTTACAATGATCAAAACAGACGTTGCTTAAACTGACACACAAATGTAAGAAAACAGTATATTAAACATAAAAGAAGTAACAAAAGTGTCAGTGGCGCAACGCCTGTTTTAAATCACTGTAAGAACTGAAATAATTACATTAAACATTAGTCAAAAAGNGGCCCCTCGTGTGCTCCTCACAGCTGACTGTAGTTCAAACCTCGCGTACGAATAAATACAACAACCCTTATCGCCACATAGCCTTTCGTTCGCACCCCCTTTTTTATTCCTCACTCTCCTAGATCCCACCAGAGGAATTGATCTAGCCGCTCGGATCAATCTCCTCACAAACGCAAAATAATCGTTACGCGTAAGATTTGGGTAATCTCCATCCGAATTACCCCGGCCTCGCATCCGCTCGGCCGCCCCGTAACACTCGAGATTCGAATTACGATCAATTAGATCCGGAGCCCGAAAGAGTGTCCAATTTTTAGGCGGTCGAGATTTATTGCATGAAATTTAACACATTGACAGCCGGCGACCTAAGAGACATTTGAAGCCTGAACGTCGGCAATGTAGCGACAGACTCAGAAAATCTGCGTTTTCACGGGGCCGGCGCTCAAGCGACAGACTCAGAAACCCACGTTTTCGCGGGGCCGGCTGTCAATGTGTTAATTTAATGTGGACGGCCCCCATTCAAAAGTGATTTACGATCGGGTATTTGATATTATTGTCCGTGAGGTTGTCGAACGGTGGTTGAAGTGCGCGTATTATTCGGATATCCCTTCGATTGTCAGTGACGTCTGTGTCTCAAATAAAGTTCCATTCTCTCAAACGACTAATTTCTGTTTTGACTGATCAGGGGGAAACTTAATTACTGTTAGTGTCATTAAATTAAATTTTCAATTAAACTGAATTGGGTCGTTCGCGGATGAACCTTTCTTTACCTTGAGGATTCCCAACTTGATAATAAATTCTAGTTGTTCGACAAAGTACATTCTGTTAAATCAGTGCGTCGATAGGACTATAAATTTTATGTGAAACCGTTCGATAAACTCCACTCGCGCACCCATTATATTGTATTATTTATGAAAATTATTGTGCCATTTATGTGTAAAATTATTGTGTTATATATGAAACTTGTTGTCGCCATTCGTTTGATTTCGCATTTGATTGTGTCGGTTATTTGTAACTTTCCATTTGAACTATTCCTCAGTCATCCCAAATAAAAGGAAATTCCTCTACTTCTCAATCTGTGCATGTTGAGCGGTACAGCGTACAATGAGTCAGTTATCGGAAGATAAATATCGAATCCAAAGCAATGACAGTATCGTCCAATTAAACCGAAAAAATAACAACGAGTGGAACAATCATCGAGGAATGTTTTGGCTTATTCGCACGTATTCCGCATCGAACTGCACTCTGGACCAAAACACGGACCTACTCTTCCGTCAACATAGTGACTACCTCAGCACTTCCGATCAAACTTCTAACAACAAAATCCAGAAACAAAGAAACCGGACCCTGTCCTCACGGGCATCTCAAGGATAAGATCTCGTACAAAAGCAGTACCGAAAAGCAGCCGTCAGTAGTATAGAAGAGATTAAGACAGCGTACAGAGCAGTCTCAGGAG